ACATTTAATTGCATTTATCATATCTGACAGTGGTAGATGTTCGATCAGATGTGATGTAATGTAATAGCCAAATTTTGAAGTGAAAATTTCGTCTGATTTTCTTGCGCACTCCACCGCTCTCTTTGATTAATGATGAAATTGAATGAAATGAAAAATTTCTATGAAAAATTGCTATGATGTCCAATGACATCACTATTGTGTCAGTGCGAGTGATTAATTATGGTAATTTAACTATAGTATGGTATAATGACAAGTTGTTTACGAATTTTCTTTATATAATTAAGAATCTAGATGGAGTTGTTTGTTTCATTAAATATTATATTCAATATTAATATATTAATATTATTATAATGTCGATACATTAATATTTAAGTATTACGTCATATTAGATACTATATCTTGAATATTATCTATGTTTTGTATATGATATTATATTACAATTTTCTACCTTTGAACTTCACATAAATGTATAAAAATTGTTAAAAAGTTTTACATAGATTTTATTATCGTCGCAACGTTTTGCAATCTTTGAGAATTATAAAATATCTATCTGAAATCGATCATTTCGAAAGTTAGGAAATCTTTGTATCAGATGAATTGTATAAAGTCGTTATCTTGCGTAAAACTGATTGCCTCGGAAGTTACAAAATCTTTATCTCCTTTACTTAAAAACCGAGTGTTTTACAAAATCTTTGTATCCGATAAGTAATTTATCGATTATCGATGATACTGACGTATTGAAAAAACTTTCTCAATGCTTGGCATCTTTGTATGCGAAAATTAAATTCTTATTCTATTTTGTCACCCGTATTTTTGGAAAATTATACCCAGACAATTTAATATTTTCAAGTTATTCTGGTTACTTTGAAAAATTTTAAATAATCAACAGCAGTTTACAAAGAAATAGATAAACTGTCAAGTTTCAGGTGATAAAACTCATTATTATACGTAACATTAAATTCATTGAACTCGTTACTTATTAAGTTTCCGATCAAACTTTTTAGTATAATGTTCAAAGGTATTTGGAACGAACCTTTGAGATATCTAATATACTATTGCATTTCTTTTGGGCTGTACGAAGAAATGAAATTAACGATTTCAAATTTAACTCGTGAATGCAAAAAAATTTCTTTTAAATACATTCCAACACTCGTGTCTGTGATCGAAAAGCCTTTCGTCAAGCAGAATGCAAATTCCCGGAAAATTGAATTAATTAAATTAATTAATTAAAGAAATAGAACCTCGACGGAAGATTCTGTCGTGTATTAAATAATACTCCGAGTATTTCACGTATTTTTCTCCAAACAATTGTGCGCATTGTTTCTCGTACACTTTCGAATTTCCAACACTCTTCGTAAATAATCTTCACAACCAACAAATCCAAATCGAACGTCTGAACGAAACTTACTCCCGCTGTGGACATTTTTCGATCGGCGAACAAGCAGGAAACGCCTCGCGAACCGGCAATTTCGAATACGTAGAGAACTATGTGTGTCGCGCAAGCTGAGATCGATACTAGTTGAAACGCGGGAAAGGGGATCACGCGATCCGTGAGAGCGAAACGATGCTGGCAGGATGATCCCGCGGAATCGGAACGAAAACGAGGGATCGTTTGGTGAAAACGATCCGGGCTGCGCGGCCAGTTCGTTGAACCCTCGGTTGGCCGGATGCCTAACCAGCGGTGATGGGCGTCGATTTCGGCGACGAGACTCGGCGGAATGGCTCGGTCATTTCGACTGGCAATTACCATGATTCCCTAGGACAAAGGAGAGAGAAAGAGAGAGAGAGAGAGAGAGAGAGCAAGGAGACCGCAGGCACTGGCATTGACATCTATTTGTAAAACGGGGGAGAAAGAAGCTGGCTTCCTGCAACGTCAAGACACCACACACGTCCCGACGTTATAATACGTTGTCTCGATTTTTGTTCATCCTAGTTTCGCCGCGAGCAAGCTGGACAAGTGTCACCGACACGCCGAGCGCAGATCGTCGCAAGAAAATCCGCTACACCATTATCCGGTATCAATCTTCCGTTCTTGGTCGTTGTCGAAGGAACGTCGTGCCGCAAAAAGCAATCACGTTAGCGATATTAACGCTGCCTTTGACACTGTTCGATTCCGGGGAATTTTCAATTCGACTCGACTCGATCCTCTATCGGAGAAACATTATAATTCTCGTTGCAAGAAAAGGTTAAACTTGTCTTGATTCACTGTTTCCGAGTGAAATGCAGGGAACTCTCTAGCGTTTGACAATAAAAAATTTGCTCCGGCGTTACGATTTTCGAGCTCTAATTAGAACTGCGTGACAAACTTGTCGAATTATTTTTTTCTGCTATGAAATAAAGAAAGGATTTTATTACATACGTACGCGTTTCTCTCATAAATTAATCCATGCTACTTATTTCTTTCTTTTAAATTGCACATGGAAAATAAAAGCTAAGCCCTGTATTACTCGTGTTGTAAAAGGAACGAATTCTCGCACGACTATAGTCTGCGTGTGTGTACAAATTCTTATAGACATCTGTCGCTCCATGATGTCACTCAAAGACCAAGATGTTTAACTAAATTTTATTTCGAATTAAATAAAATGTGAATCACAGTAGAATCTCGTTTATTTGAACACGTCGAGGGATAAAACCGGATAATAGAAATTCACCAACTTTCTTCATACTTTGCTCTTGGCTATTTGGACAGTAACAAGATAATAAAGGTTTATCAATCCTGAATATTCGAAAAATATATTTGAAGTTTATCATTAACTGGTTCGTATAAATAATGGTACGGATAAACGAGATTTTACTGACCAACTTTAACAGGTTAGGTTAGATTTAGGTTAGGTTTAGGTTAGGTTAGATCAACCTAACCTGATGATTTTATTTATGTCAATCATTTATTGTTGTTATTATTTATTACTACCTATCAATAAATAATTTATGTTATTTACTATTTGCTGCTTCAGGGTCGTTGTATATCATTACAAGAGAAATACAACGCAATACTGCAAAAATAAAACGCGATTCGATCACAGAATCACGATCAAGATTCTCCGATAATCTCTCGTGCCCTCAGCAAATCCTCCGCGAAGCCAACCGCGCGAATAGTTAATAAAATCAATAGAGCAAATATTTGCGGTAAAATTAACCCTCTGATTCGGCAGAACTATCCTCGCATAAACGGATTTCCGTTTTGAATCGCTCGATAAACTGCTTTCTCCGGGGCAGCAACCGGGGGATGGATTGATTATTCATTCTGCTTGAACGTCGAGCGAGAAAGGGAGCCCGATACCGAACTCTCTCTCTCTCTCTCTCTCTCGTCTTTTGTGTACGTACTGTCACTCGTTTTCGATACAAATTTAAATGAAAATGTCGGCCCGGCAAGCCTCGTCTCGATACATATCGCCGATAACCTCACCGTGTTAGACGAAAAAGAAAGACACCGAGAAAAAGAGAAAGAAAGAGAGAGGGGGGGAGAGGGGGGGGGAAGAAGATACTCGAAGGAAACGATAAGCGCGCAAATATTGGCGTTCCTGAAATGGCAAGCTAACAGCTGCCTCGTTCGAACGAGTCCTCAAGAGTGCTTTTAATTCTGTGTACAGCCAGCTAGAAAATCGCTGTTTACACCGACAGTTTCGAAAGGGGGAAGGCGTTTGTTCCATAATTGAGACCCGGGGGCACGAAATTTCGTGATTCTGAAGCCATCGCGGGATACCTCGGTACCTAGGCGAAACCGCGAAATGGGAAACGACTATGGCGGAGGACGATATCGTTTTAGCTACTTT